AGGTGATTATTATTCATAGAAAAAACAAGACAGACATGAGAAGAACAGCAAATGTTCTCATCAGCCACAGTTCTCTGAGGTTAGGTTCCCATCCTAATGTGTACTGTTATATCACATTCATGCACACCCCTCTTTGCGCCATGGTAGAAGAACACCAAAGCCCTTCATGCCCACGTTAGTACTAACCAACAGCCATGTCTAAATGCCAAACAATACGTACAGAGAGATAGTAGGGGAAAGGTGTAAAAAGAGTTTTAAAAAGTAGAAGACCCCCTGAGGGCAATGGAAAGCATTCATTGCATCTATTTAGGGAGGGTGACTATCTCTCAATGTCTAGTTTAGTTTTACTGGCATCAGGAGCATTCATTCTCCTGTATCCCATTAAGATAGTTTCACTTTGTAACTATTTGTAGCTGGGGAGATGGTGACAGAGATTATAACACATCTGTGCATCGATCAGTTCCTGAGACTCTTGGTAATAGTATTTTCTGGCAAGTCATTTTAGAGTCTTACTTGTAAAATAGGGTAAATAAATATGTTCATTAGATGTTGGTTTGGTGGGCAAAATGTAATGATGTCTATAAAATTTTGCAGTATACTGTGGTGTATATAAAAGTATTAAGAGCACAGCTTTACAGACAGACTACCTCATCTTGAAAACCCTCACATGTGACTGAAACTTCCTCCCTCCATCACCTCATCTGCTATTTCTGTGGCTGCCTTTTTTTTTTTTTTTTTTTAATTGTGATTTGGTTGAAAGTTTACAGAGCAAATTCACTTTCCATGCAGCAGCTCACGTACACTTTGTCTCATGACATTGACTACAATTTACCACAATGCAACAGCTCCCCTCCCACTTTCTCCCCATAGGTACCTCTTCCCTGTCTTCTTCCCTCCATGCCCTCCTGCTCCCTGTGCATACACAGCCCTTCTATTCTCCCATGATTGATCTCTCCAAGGAGTGTATCTACGTATTGTAAATGTGCAGCTATATTCCTGTTTTTTGTTTGGCTGGAAGCCACAGGAGTGTGTTCAGTTCCAGACCTGAAGGGCAGTTAGGGGCCATAGCCTTAGAGTTCCCACTAGACTCTATCAGACAGCAAAACTGGTATCTCTCTCTCTTTTTTATAACTATTTTGAGTTTTTTTCCATATTGTTCTTCCACTCTATCCAGGATCTCCTACACAGATCCCCCTCGGAGTGGTTGACAATGGTAGTCAGGCACCATCTAGTTCTGGTCTCATAGTCATATAGGCTGAGGATTGCACAGTATATCAGTCGTTTGGACTAATTGTTTTCATGAATCTTTGGTTTTCTTCATTCTTCTTTGTTCTAGATGAAGAGTCACCTGTTATTTCTGGATATGAATTTTACTAAGCTTAAAGAGATGCTAAAAAAAAAAAAAAAAAACCCACTGCCATTGAGTTAGTTCATAGAGATGCTAAGAGGATAAAAATAAGATAATGAATATATGTGTTTGGCAAATCATACATAAGCACTCAATGAAGACTCACTACTATTATTGCTTTATGTTTATTGACATTTCCCAAAACATATTCCTTGCTATTGTTATTTTTACTCTACTTTATAAGTTCTATATCACAGAACAGAACGTAATAGCCTACTGCAAAAATCCTTATCTGTTAAGCAGTTGATTCTATACCACTTTTCTTGGAATATTAGCACTCTTTTACTACAAGCACAAGAAACATTTATGAGAACTAAAACTAGAATATATTATATGAGAAATGGCCTTTTTCAATGGTGAATTTAAATTCCCTTCCCCCAAATTTATCAATTCAAGTAACATTTTTTTCTTTTCTTTTTTAGTTTCACTCCCCATTTACCATCCCCAACCCTAACCCAGTTTCCTCCCCTCCCTTCCCAGTAAACCCCCCCACCCTGTGCGCCTCAAAGTTATGCACTCCTGTGTGCTCCTGTGTGTCCTGCATTTCCTCCATGTGAATGTTGCCTCTCTGGTATCCCGTGGTCGATTGCTCCAAGGGATGCATTTCCATAGAGTATGTGGGTGCGTCACCCTGGGTTGAATGGTCTGTGGGCACATCTTGTTTACTATTGGGCTGAGAGCCAGCCCCTGGGAGTGACTTTTATTCCAGGCCCAGAATGTATCTCAGGGCCATAGTATTGGGGGTCTCACCAGACTCTATCTGACCAGTAATTCTGATCATTATTGAGTTTTTGGATTTTGTTCCATGTTTTTCCTCCCACTCTATCTGGGATCTTCAGTTTTACTCTTTTCCTGAGTGGTTGGCCTTGGTAGCCAGGCACCATCTAGTTCTTCTGGTCTCGAGGGCCATCATGTCCTAGGGCTAATTGCACTCTTCTTCGCTTCTGATGATAGGAGACCATTAGCTACATCTTAGATGGCCACTTGAAAGCTTTTCAGAGCCCAGTCACTACTCACCAATGTGGGATGAGGAACAAGACTTTTATGTATTTTGTTGTCCCAATTGAGTCTGGTGTCCCCCAGTACTATGGTCCTGAGATGGTAGCTCTATTGGATCTCTCTCTCACAGTGTCTGGGTGTCTGTGAAGGATAACTCCATGTCTGTCTTCTGTTGTTTCTGTAAGGATTGCAGATATTTTGTATCACTGGTATCTGTGCAAGATTAGCCACAGCTGAATCTATCCTTGGTCTAGAGTATACTCCTGTTCGCTGACCTCCATCTGATTCTCTCAGATGTTCATGTGTTCATCTGTAGCCTGGTGTTTGGTGTTAATGGTAATGCTGTATTATGGACACACTAGTTGGTATTCGCATCTGTCATCTATCTCCTATGTGCACAATTCAGTGTCCTCCCTTTTCCTAATGTTATCATGGTGGGCACAGACTCTTTCCATATATCCCTCCCCTTAACATGTCAGTGTGTGGGCTGATATTAATGCCTCCCCTTCCTTCCCCACCCTGGAAACCTACAAAGTGAGTTCTCTTTCCCAAGCAAACCCTTGTCTTTTTACTCAACTAACATTTTTAACATTTAGATATCCATTTAGTTACATATTTAGCAATGGATATTTACCGAAGATAATATTATTGAAATCAGAGCTATTTCAGAAAATCCAGAACACCAGATATCTGAGTGTATGGACATGAAAACTTGAAAGTGAGGAACTAAGTGATGCAAAGAAATCATTTATCTTTCTCGGGAAGTGGTCCTAGACATTCAAAATAGGTGATTGGTATTGGGTATAACTGATAATTCTGTTGAAGAAGTATTCTTCTTATAACAGTAAATTTCAACAGTCATGCAAAATAACTGTCTCCAATAAAATTCAGTTTGATTATTTCCACTGTTTCAGTTAACACCAGTTATCAAGTGTGATTGGCTCTCCTTTAACCAAAGTAAGGGTGACTCCCTAAAAGCATTTGCCAAGGAGAACAATTTGGAACTGAGCTGCTGGTGGAGGAGAAAATTGAATAAGTATCTAGAACAAGTTGCATGTGTCTGTGTGATTAAAAGCTTTCCTAATCTATGAGTCAGTGGTTTCTAAGAAGCGATTCATTAATTGTCGATGAAGAAGAGTTCTCGTGCCCATCAAGTGCAGTTTGTGTGTGTAGAATCTCTGCTTATTGAGTTATAATTGCCTCACTTCATTCCAGTGAGTAAAGATAATTTTCTTTTGTGTGTGTGTGAGTGTGAAAACATGTGTTATCAGCAAATTCCTTCTGCAATTGTAGGATGTCACTGTTTTTTCTTGTCTCTTACATGAGTGTGTTCTCAGAGCTTAGAGGCAAAGAATACAGTCTGAATTTTAAATATTCAGGTAAATGGTTACAGTCAACCACTGTCCCAGAACAGTCAAAGGAAACTAAGCAGTTGGTAAAAGAGTCTGTTGCACCTCTGTGATAAGACCCTCCCATCTGGTGCTTCTGAAAGAATTGACAGGCAACCCTAGGGGCTCCTGTACTTTCTTGGCCCTTGTCAGGATCTCTGGAGGGCAGATTTAAGTCCTGGCCCTTCAGTTAATACTGAAGAATCTAAGAATAAGATTCTCACCCCTTGCCAGAAAGAATGAAAAAGTGTGCAGCAAATTTAAAACATTATTACACAACCCTAAAATGATATTTTTTGAAAAGTTCATGGTTTTACCAAGATTCCAAATAAAAGTAATCAGTTTTACCTTGCTTTTCAATGTATTTCCATGCATCCTTTATATATTTATGGATCAGTATACCAGAAACTGTACTAATTAATCCAACTATAACCTTATTTGAATTAAAAGGTTAGGCAGTAGGTGATCACTTGGGAATACCTGGGTTGTGAGGATAAGCCTGCTTTTAATTTTTCAAATTTAGTGTATTGGTCAAGCCTTGGTCTAATAAAGACAAGACTTCAAAGGGGCAGGTGAGAATGGTTGCAAAACTTGAAGGATGTAATCAATGCAATTGAATTATACAAGAAGAAATTATTGAATTGGGGCATGTTCTGCTGTGTGTATACAGAGCAACAACAACAAAAACCCAAAATAAAGTATGAAAAAAACAAAACAAAACATGTAAGTCTTCAAATAGTAACTAACAGTGAATGAGCATACAGAATGGTTTGAGGGTAAGAGTAGTTTTTGTTGTTACGTGCCATCAAGTCTCACTGACTCATAGTGACTCCTCCTTGGGTTTCCAAGGCAGTCTATGGAAATAGATTGCCCAACCTTTCTTCTGAAGGAAGTGGCTGGTGGGTTTGGACCTCCAGCCTTCTGGTTAGCAGTCAAGTGCCTTAGGCACTATGCTACCAGAGGGTAAGAAGGAAAGGATCAAATGCTGAGGAAGAGTGGGCCAATGAGAGGAAGGATGGGAGGGTGAACAGGAGCTGGGGGCGGGGATTCCCTAAAGACAGAGGGGAGAGGGTGGAGCTGGAGATCTTTAACTCAAGTCTGAGGGGCAGCCAAAGGGATATAAAAGCCTGGTAGAGCCAGGCGGGGAAAGCAGCCTGCATCCAAGGATAGACTTTCCGGGAGAAAGGCTGAAGAGCAGGTCCAGGATGTCGAGGCTGCTCGTGTTCCACCTGCTAGGAGTCTGCCTGCTGCTGCACCAGCTCCCCACAGCTCTCTGCTACAAGCCCACAGACGTCGTGAGGCTATGCGGCCGCGACTTAATGCGCTTCTGGATCAGATTATGTGGCCAGCCCCACTGGGGAACGTTTTTCAGTAGGAGCAAGCCATCACTGGCAGCCCTCCCGCCCGCAGGTGAGAGTTCCCTTCCCCAGCCCTTGGTCTGAATGGCTGTCTGCACTCGGGTCCTGAATGCTGCTGCTGCTGCTGCCTCAAACTTTGGCCTTTGACTCTGAAACTTACTTTCATAAAACGAGCACCCAAGAATCTCACCAGAAGGCAGGAAAGCCTCACTTGATAGCAGCTAGGTGAGCTTCACTACCTGGCTTCTGAGAGGCTGGGTGGAAGCAGAGGGAAGCACAGAGCAGTTCCAGCTGCCCAAGTTCACTGGAGGCCTCAGTCACCCCAGGCACCCAAGAGCAAAGTGGTCTCGGCCACATTGGGCGCTGCTGGACTCCGGGGCAGCGGCAAAGGGCACCAGGCACTGACTTGTAAAGGGAGGACACAGGTGGTCCGCTTGTTCCCAAGCATGTACGTGCACAAAAGGGCATGAGACTGATCTCTGAGACCGCCACAGACCTTAACTTCTCTTCTTATTTGAAAGAAGTTGCACTGCTACCTCTGCCATCCAAACCTTCCTTTGTTTCTTTTTTAATCCAAACCAAATGGGAGAGGCTTGCGTCTCACTCTGTAAACCTGTCTGGAAGTTCAGATGGAGGAGAGGGGATGGAAGGGGAATAAAGGGGCCAGGGTGCCTACAAGAGAAACCCAAAGGACCAGAGTCCAGGGAAGCTCACCCTGCAGACACTTCGCTACTAGACCCATTTGGTGCCTTCAAGCTTTAGGAAGCTGCAATGGATTTTCTTTAAAAGTGAGATCTTGGAATTGAGTATAGCTCAAATCTGGAACTATTTTTAATATAGTAAGCCAGTTAAGAAGAATTTAGGATAGATAACATTGATATTTCTGGTCTCCTAGTTTCTGCTATTTGACAGGGAATGCCTTATGATAAGTTGAAAAGGACAGCTTTGCCATCCGTTAAGTAAATCAGCCAGAATGGATTCAGGTTTACACTAGAATTTCAATTTCATCTGAGTTTCTAGTTCTTTTGTGCTAAAACTCTCAAAATTGTATAATTGAGAGAGGAAAGATTAGAAAGTTTATGTGACTGAAAGTTTTTTGTTTGTGGGCAGGAAGAATGTTTTGTCTTTGTTTCTATTTCTATCTGGCTGTGCCAGAGACATGGTATCAGTTGATGAACGTTCTGGGGGTGAAGAAAGGGGAAGATGGGAGCTGTTTACAACTGCTTCCCAGCACTCACTTCTGCCCATCCTTGAGTGCTGTTCGAGCATAGTCTTCCTCCTCCAGGCACACAGAGCTTGTGCAGTGGGTGATGCACAACAGTGGGCACATACCACACATAGCACTTTAATCAGTAGACACAGCGCACAGACACCAATCGCTCTGTTAACCCAGTGATTTTGGTTAGTTTCTTTTAACCTTCTCTCTCTTTAATGTAAAGTATTATTGACTTGAAGGCAACATCAGGGGGAGGAAAAAATGGTTAAAAATGATTAAATAGATGTTTGATATCTCCTATCTCTGAGGCTTGTACCTCCTGCCAGTTCGATCAGAGCAGCTGAGAATTTTGCCTTTTTAACTTTATCGTGAGAGGCATCTGCCTGCATAGAGCATTTGATAGCCTCAAATAATTAACATACTTGGAAAGCATTACTATCATAACTCCGAAGTTGCTTGGTAAGGGACGAAAATTACTCAAGTAAGAAAAATCCATCTGTGGTCACATTGAGAACTTCTATGACCAGGACAACTTCACAGGGATGAGGGAACAGTGTCATGAAGAGTGAAAGTGCCACCATGAAAGCTTTAAGGGGGTCAAGGAAGAGACCAAAGTGGACAGGATGGCATCAAGAAAAATGTTGGGAATGCTGCAGTGCTTTGAGCTACCAAAGTTAAAATGTATAAGTATTAGGACACCGGCTGATTCTGTTTCCATGTATAGCAATACAGAGGAAAAGCTTTCCTTTGTTTATGCAAAGTTCTATAGTTTTTCTGATACTCCTTGACATGAATGTTCTCTCTCCCATTTTCTTTTTAACTCCACAGAAAATGTGTTATCCTCCAACAAAAATACAGAAAACTTAAATAAGATGTTGGCCTTCATTCCTAATTTTCAAGAGAAGGGGGTGGCATATGAAGAACGTCAGAAAATAATCCAGAAGAGAGACAGTGAAGTAGAAGACAACAGGCCTTCAGATGTGAACTACTTAGGCTTTGATAAGCATCCCCGAAAGAAGAGAATGCTGACTGAACCATTGAGTGACAAGTGTTGTCACCAAGGTTGTACCATAAAAGAACTTGTGAACATATGTTGAGATGTGTATGTCTCAGCCAAAGTTCACATGTCTTCTTGATGACACATTCACAGATGCCTTTGTCACCCACCATTGATTAGTAGAACATGAAAAATCATAACTAGTTGCTTAGGTTTCTGATTTGTCATGTAAGAAAATACTGTACGTTATTGAAGTTTCTGTTAGTAAATCTATTAATGCTAAAAAGTCTTTGTCTTTTTAATTTATGGCATAATTGCATTAGTTGATCTTTCATGTTATTAACTTAAATTGATAATGTCTTTATCACTTTAAACACACAATTTATACAATGCCTAGCACCTGGTACAATAGACCAAAATGTATTCAGTATATTGACTTTTGGAACAGATGTACATGAAGTATAAAATTCCTTAGTAATTTGACAAAGTAGCTCTGATGGTACAGTTGCTGAAGCATTTAGCTGCTAAACAAAAGGTTGGTGGTTCAAACCCACCAGCCATTCCACAGGAGAAACATGAGGCAGTATGCTCTCAAAAAGATGTACAGCCTTGGAAACCCTATTAGGCAGTTCTACTCTGCCCTGTAAGGTTGCTATGATTCCAATCCATTCAACGGCAGTGGATTTTGGTATGAAATTGAAAAGGTTTTTTGTGTTATGGAACTATTTATTACAAACAATCAGACTGGACACTAAATTAATTTAAAAGATTGGTGTCCATAAAATAGAACTGTTTTTCAAACTAGTCAACTTCTCACTGCCTTAGCTTTCTTAAGAGCAAACCACATTTTTAAGAAAAAAATAAATACACACACACACACATGTGATGCCCTCGAGTCGTACCCGACTCATAGCAACCCCTCCCTGGGGTTCCGAGGCAGTATCACTACAGAAGTAGATTGCCCAACCTTCCTTCTGAGGAGTGGCTGGTGGGTTTGAACTGCCAGCCTTCTTTGTTAGCAGTCAAGTGCCTTAGGCACTATGCTACCGGAGCTTCTTAATACAGAAGAGAATAAAAATTCAGTGTCGTATATTATAATTAGGTTCCTTTAGAAACATGTCATATGTTTACAAAAAAAAAAAACATTTTTTGTAAGCAAAATAACTAAAATGATGTGTTGTTTTTGTTAAGTGCTGTTGAGTAGGCTTTGGCTGATAGTGACCCTGTGTACAACAGAACGAAACACTTCCCAGTCCTACACCGGCCTCACAATCCTAGCTATACCTGAGCCCCTTGCTGCAGCCACTATTTCAATAAACCTCATTAAGGGTCTTCTCCTTTTTCTCTGGCTTCCACTTTACCAAGCAATCTCTAGGGAATGGTCCCTTCTAACAACATGACCAAAGTAGGTGAGATGAAGTCTGGCCATTGTCACTTCCAAGGAGTATTCCAGTTGCACTTCATCCAGGACTGGTTTGTTAGTTCTTCTGACAGTCCATGGTGCTTTCAGGATTCTTTGCCAACACCAAAATTCAAAAGCATCAACTCTTCTTTTGTTTCCCTTACTCATTATCCAGCTTTTGTATGCATATGAGTATGATTTAAAATACCATGGCTTGGCTTCAAGCACCTTAGTCTTCAAAGAGACATCTTTGATCTTCAGCACTTGAAAGAGGTCTTTTGCAGCAGATTTGCACAGTGCAATATATCGTCTCATGTTTGACGGCTGCTTCCATTGATGTTGATGGTGCAATCAAGTAATATGAAATCTTTAACAACTTTAATCTTTTCTCCATTTATTGTGACACTGCTTATTGGTCCAGTTGTGAGGATTTTTGTTTTCTGTATGTTGAAATGTAATCCATACTGCAGACTTCAGTCTTTAATCTTCATCAGTAAGTGCTTCAAATCATCTACACTTTCAGCAAGCAAGGTTATGTCGTCTGCACATCACAGGTTGTTAATGAGTCTTCCTCCAATCCTGATACTACATCCTTTTTCATATAGTCCAACTTCTTGTATTATTTGCTCAGCATACAGATTGAATAAGTACAGTGAGAGGACACAACCTGACATACTCCTTTCCTGATTTAAAACCACGCAGTTTCCCCTTGTTATGTTCAAATGACAGCCTCCTGGTCTATGTACAAGTTCTTCATGAGCACAATTAAGTGTTCTGGAATTCCCATTTTTTGCAATGCTATCCATAATTTCTTATGATCCACATAGTCGAATCCCTTTGCATAGTCAATAAAACACAAGTAAACATCTTTCTGGTATGTTTTGTTTTCAGCTAACATCCATTTGACATCAACAATATTATCCCTCATTCCACATCCTCTTCTGAATCCAGCTTGTATTTCTGGATGTTCTCTGTCAATATACTCCTACAATTGTTTTTGAATTATCTTCAGCAATATTTTACTTGAGTATGATATTAATGATATTGCTCAACAATTTCCCCATTCTGTTAGATCACCTTTCTTTGGAAGGGGTACAAATATAGATCTCTGCCAGGGAGCTGTCTTCCAAATTTTTGGTATAAACAAGTAAGTGCCTCCAGTGTGCCATCTGTTGGTTGAAATAGCTCAGTGGGTATTCCATCAATTCCTGGGACCTTATTTTTTTTGCCAATTTATTCAGTGCAGGTGTGACTTCCTTCTTCAATACCATTGGTTCTTAATCCTATGCTACTTCCTGAAATAGTTGAACACCAATAAATTTTTTGTACAGTAACTCTGTATTTCTTCCATCTTCTTTTAATGTTTCCTGCATCATTCAATATTTTGCCCATATAGTTTTTCAATATTGCATCTTGAGGCTTGCATTTTTTCTTCAGTTTTTTCAGCTTGAAAAATGTTGAGTGTGTTCTTCCCTTTTGGTGTTATAACTGCTGATCTCTGTACATCATAATAATTGACTTTGTCTTCTCCAGCTGTTCTTTGAAATCTGTTCATCTCTTTTATCTTGTCATTCCTTACATTGGCTTTAGCTACTCTCTTTTCCAGAGGAAGTGTCAGAGATTCTGTTGCCATCCATTTTGGTCTTTTCTTCCTTTCCTTTTTTTTTTTTTTTTTTAAATTGTGATTTGGGTGAAAGTTTACACAGCAAATTCACTTTCCGTACAGTAGCTCACATACACTTTGTTTCATGACATTGACTACAATTTCCCACAATGCAGCAGATCCCTCTTCCACTTCCTTTCCACAGTTACCTCTTCCCTGTGTCCTTCCCTCTCATGAACTCCTGCCCCCCCCCCCAAGCTGTCTCCTGTGCATACCCTGTCCTTCTATTCTCCAATGATGGTTCTCTCCAAGGAGTGGGACATTTACCTAATGTAAATGTTCAGCTCATATGCCTGTCTTTTGTTTTGCTGGAAGTCACTGGAGTGGGTTCAATTCCTGACATAAAGGGCAGCTAGGGGCTATAGTCTCAGTGGTTCCATCAGGCTCTATCAGATCAGCAAACCTGGTCTCTTTTTTTCTTTTTCTTTTAAAATGATTTTGAGTTTTGTTCCACATTGAGCTCCCACTCTATCCAGCATATCCTACGTAGATCCCCTTCCAAGTGCTTGACAGTGGTAGCTGGGCACCATCTAGTTATTCTGGTCTCATAGTCATATAGGCCGAGGATCGCATGGTGTACCAGTCGCTTGGATTAATTGTTTCCATGCATCTTTGGTTTTCTTCATTCTTCTTTGCTCTGGATGAGGAGAGACCCATTACTGTATCTAGATGGCCGCTTGCAAGCTTTTAAGATCCCAGTCACTACTTGCCAAAGTAGGATATGGAATAATGTTTTTGTGTAGTATGTTATGCCAATTGAGCTTGATGTTTGCTGTGACTATGATCCTGGGCCCACAGGTCCAACTACTCGCTCTCTCTGGGTAGCTGACTGTGGCCAAGAAGTGACTGCAACCTTGTCTCTTGTCAGCTCAGCTATATACCTGGGAATTTTTACAGAACATACAAATACACTTGTAGAAACATTGTCTGCCAACTCCATACATGCTCTTGGGCACACTGCCCCCTGCATAGATATATTTAATAGTTCAGCCTGTCCACCCATCTATCCACCCATTGATCAATGTTTGCCTTCACTGAAAATGTAGTACTGTATGTGCAAACGGGTTCATCTTTGTTGTCTGTACCCCCCATACACCTCTCTATGTCTTCCTTTTCCTCAAAGCCACTGTGATGACCACTCACATTTGGCACATTGCCCTTCTCTTCACCCAAATCAATACTTGTGTCTACCTATCTAATAGTGTTCCCTCCTCTCCCCTCCCACTCCTGGTAACCAACAAAGAAAATTTCCTTCCACATAAAAATCTTTCCTTGACTTTATAATAACAGACTGATACAATATTTGTCCTTCTGTGATTGACTTATTTCACTCAGCATAAATGTCCTCCAAGTTCATCCATATTATGTGGTGTTTTTCAGATTCTGTGTTATTCTTTAGGGTTGCGTAATATTCCATTGTGTGTATGTACCATAGTTTGGTTATCCATTCTTCTGTTGATGGGCACGTAGGTAGTTTCCATCTTTTTGCTGTTGTAAATAGTGCTGTGGTGAACATGGGTGTTCATATATCTGTGCATATATACCTGGCTCTCACTTCTTTAGGATATATACTGCCAAAGGGGCAAGCAGGCCACATCTTCTGACCTCCTTGAACTCCACAAGAGGAAGACAGAATCACCATCAGTAGCCCAAGGCATATCCCTGTGAGGCCAGACATGCTGCCTCCCTCCAGCCCTTTCATCAACCCTGACACCAATTGTTCCTTCTGCAGCACCCACCACCTCCTTGCTATATTTGATAATTCGCTGCAGTGGCCACACACAACTCACAGATTATGGGGTTTATATGGGAAGCACTAGACAACAATTCAAGGTCAGAAGTGCCCTCAGTCTCTTGCAGCTGGCCTTCTCACTCAGTAGCCAGCAGTCTCAGCAGCACATCACTCTCTCAGCTGTGCATGTCTCTTGCATCTCTCTCTCAGCAGTGTATATTTTTCACATCTCTCTCTCAGGAGTATGTGTCTCTCTCATCTCTCTCTCAGCAGTGTGTGTCTCTCACATCTCTCAGGAGCATG